AAAGAGGCACAGAATAAAAGTCTTTGCTGAGCTGGACACCTTTGCTATCTTCATTTGTGTCTTAAAAATCTTAACACTTTCACTTTGTGTTATCTGACACTGGAATGCAATGTGATACAGGTTATGTTATTTCTATGTCTTCTGTGGAATTTTTAATTAAAAATTTCAATTTTGTAGTACAACTAGCACATCCTGTCCTCAAAATGCTTTTCTCCATGATGGCCTTCTGGAGGCACAGTGGCGAAATGCTGTACATTTGATAACTATGACAACATATAAATGCACAATATTCTCACCAGATTTGTAACTGCTTTTACTAAGGGTGGCAAAAGTGGGAAGGGAGTGATTAGACCCAATACATGCCTGTATCCTTCCTCATAGTCAAGGCGCATTTTAGTGTTGATTCAAGACACAGTCCACAAAAGGCCCTAGGTTCAATGCCAGTAGGTAATTTGCTTTTGTTCTGAGAACCTGTGTTTACATAACCCTGCAGACACCTGAATTTCCTCGGCACATAATTGTCAGTAAAATTTACTGTAAGGGTGCCCAGGTCACACCTACGCACTGCTGGGACGTACAAATGAGGTGTTCCTCTGGCTGCCACCTTCTCCTGCAGGAACTGGAGGTGATCACTCAGGTATCTCTAACAAGAGCTAGGAAATGATGCCTCTCTGAGTCTCATAGTCTAGCATCTTGCTCCTTGAGGTAGAGGAGACTTAAACTCATCTCACTGCACTCCCAGGTGTAAACTTAAGCTGCTTGCTGCTCAGTGTGCTGACTACCAGGGATACAATTTTTAGAAGCCCAGTTCTCCTTGTGTGCTGTGCAGGAACTAACCATATACACTTAATGTGGCATGATGGCTTCCAGGAGGTGCCAGGTTGCCTTAAAGGCACTACCTGAGCTTTGTGACACCATTATTGGTCTGAAGTCTTCAGAACTCAGATCTTCTCTTCCATCAAAAGCGGTCGCCAGTGCAGAGGGGAATAAAGGCATTATGGTCTCCAGTTCAAGCACTTCTAAAGATAGTTCTGTTTTCCATCTTGAAAGACTAGCGACCTAGGCTGAAGGTTGCTCTGTTTTCTGCAGACTGACAGCAGCCTTCAGGGGTT